ATTTATAAATTAAAATATGATATTAAATTATATTTGAAATTACAAATTAAACATTATTATTAACTTTTTTTTCCCCCTATTTTTTAGTCGTACAAATATTTACAAGTTCCGTGTTTTATAATATATATAAAATGGCAAGGACGAGAAAAAGATAGGTTTGCCTTATCGTAAAGCCCCTTTTAATTTCTAGGCATTTATATAAATACATTGTAACTAAAGTTAAAAATTAAAAATAAGAGAAAAAAGTAAAAAGTTTCAAAGAAGTTTATATAAAATGCAAAATAGTTTAATAAAGTCTTTCGAAGTTATTTTTAATAAAAGTTAAGGGAGTAATTTAATCTCTATAACATGAAGGTTAACTTACGCAGATTGCAATGCTATATCGTCAGGTTAGAATTATTTTGTTCTATCTGTTTTGAGATAAAACGATTTAAAAAAAAAAAACTTTAGGAGACGGCATATAAAAAGATTTTAGTTAGTTATGCTTTCGCCGAAACTTTTTTGATTTTAACTTAGCCTAAGTTAAATTTTAAGTTTTTTTAGAAAGATTCCTCGTTTAAACGAAAGATTAAATATATGCAAAAGAATTTATTGAATATAGAAAATACATTTAATTATAACATTACTACTAACATTATAAAGTCGATGTGCTTTGTTTGATTTTAATTAATGCACAGCATCTAATAACTCTTTTTCAGTTAACTCAGCATTTTCCATTATTTGCGAGGAGCCACGTATATCTCCTTGTTAGACTCACTGTGTTTTTATTTTGATGCTAAATTTAAACCTGCATTGACAAACTCTTCGTTAAAAGTTTTAGCCATTATAGATTCTTTTGTAATATCTTGATGATAAAAATTTAGTTTTTTTGGAAGACCATTTAGCTTAAGTGTTTTTTTCCAATTATTTCTTTAATGACTTGCCACATTTGTTGAGTGTCGCCTTTCAGTTTTATAATTTTATTCGATTAGTATAATTTCTTTTAAAGTTTAATAATTGATTCAAAGTGACCTTTCTTTTTTTATACCTTAATTCATTTTCATATATATTTTTTTATATTCATTAATTATTATTTGATTAATTGAGGTTTCCTAGTAATTTGAGGAATCATAGGCAACTGCCACATTTTTATTTGTGTCGTAATGAAGCTCATTATAATTAAAATCCCCCACAAAAAGAAACATTTGCCAAAATTTTGTTTTTAATTAAATTTTTAAAATGTTTTTCAAAAAGTTTGTTATTGCCAAATGGTGGTCTGTACACAACATGTACAATGATGCTTTAAGTGATTTTATTTATAGCCTCGATCGTTAATGATTTGCAATCATTACTAATTACACTAAATTCGATTAGCGGTTTAAAATTTAAAGAGTTGTAGGTAAAAATATATACTGCTCCACCTATTGTTTTAGAATTTCTGACTTGATGAATAACTTTATAGTTTTGTAGTTGAAAATTTGAATCTTTTTCAATTTGGTTATCCCGACACCAGGTCTCTGTGAGACAAATAAATTTAAAATTAATTTCAACATTATATATAAAATCTTTAAATTTATTAAAATTTTTTTGAAAGCTTCAAATATTTAACTGTAAAATAGAGAACTCATTAATATCTATATCAGCAGAAAGATTAGAAATATCAGAATTATAATAAAAAGGGCATATGCTGCTAATTATTTCATCAATGTTAAAAAAATGAAACTTTGGATCTGATTGATGAAAGTATATTTTTATTTGTCTGGAAATCCTTGGAGCTTTATTTATGAAAATTCATATATTCCATAACAAAAAGAAAGGTTATACTAACAAAATGTTTAAAGTATAAAATAGTTAAAGTTTAGTAGGTAATTTCCTGAATTATTTTACTATTTATCGTAAATTAAAACCAAAAACCATTTTTCCTATGTATCTTCATTTGCTCGAGTAGTTTTTTATGGGAATATATACCAATGAGTTATCTTCATTGATATATATTCCCAATCCTTTCAGTTTACTCGCACTTTTACTTTATCTTTGTAATTTAACAGTTTCATTACTATTGGCCTTGGTCTACCTGCTTCAATTTTTCCTGACCTGTGCGCTCGTTTAATTACAATTCCTTTTGAATTAGGTTTTTCTTCAAAAATATTTAATACCTTCAGTTCGGTGTCATCCCAATTTTCCTTTTCGTTTTCCGATAAACCCTCTAAAAGAAGATTATTCCTGCTTTGTCTTCAAGCTATCTTCAAGCTATCTTTGTCTTCTGTCTATCTTCAAGCTGCCTTAGTTTTTTTTTCTCCATATATCTGCTTCCTGATTTTGATGAGATTTTTTTTCTAAATTGAGATTTTTTTTTCTTGCAAGTTTTGTGTAAAGTTCAAACTTTCTTCTATATCTTTTTGCGCAATTTCATTTTTGTTTAATCTTTTAACGTAATTTTTTTTGTTTCTCTTTAATTAATATGTTTTCTTTTTGGAGTGTCGCACACAAATTTTTTACTGCAGGATTTATTTTCTTATAATTATCATGCTTGCAAAAACACATCAAAACACATCATACTTTGAATATAATAAAGTTTTGAGTTTTAAAAGACGAATTTTCGAAAAAATAAACATTCTATGTAATATTAATTAATACCCGACATAAAATATGAGATATAAAATAAATTTGTTATTTAAAATATCATGTCTCTCATAAAAATCTTATTTGTCATAAAACTCAGTAGAACATAGCATACAATATCGATTTGTATATAAGAACATCATGGGGAAAAGGCGCCTATGATGGCATACTTAACTTTGAAGCTTCATTATTCAGTATCCTGAAAACCAAGAACAAAAGTTTTGATATGGACTCTTTGTTACATATAGAACAATAATAACTTAAGAAGTTTTCATCAGTTTTATTTTTTTTATTAGTTATTTTTATTTAAGGGGCAACTAGTCTCATACTTTTTCAAAAATTTGATTTTTTAAAATAATTTTAGACTAAAATTTTATGCAGATTTTGAATCTGCAAAAAAAAATTGAACACTTTTTTATAAGTTTTTGCTTAATTTATGTTTTTTTGAACTCAAATGAAAAATATTTGCATAGCAACGCGTTGCTATGGGGCGAATATTTTTCTTACTCCAGGACAGTACTTCAGGATAAGTTTGAGAAACAGTACTCCAGGATAAGTTTGAGAACTTATCCTGGGGTACTGTTTCAAATATATGCTTTGATTTATATCTTCTTTGCTAATTAATATTCTGTTCCTTATTATATTCAAACATATTCAAGCACTGATTTGGGTGTACATATTCAAACACTGATTTGGGTGTTATTTTGAACAAAAAAATTAATGATTGAGTAAAGCAGAGAAAAAATTATCACAAAAAAAAAAAAAGAGGATTTAAGGTGAAGAAAAATGCATGTAATGTAACTTACATTTACTTACGTTGTAAGTAAATGTGACTCTAATGACAGAAGTAGTTTAGGCGCATCAGCTAAAAAAAATAAAATTTATTACAAATGTACCAAGTAAAAACACAAAAAAATTACTGGTTACAGAATTATAGACACTAAAATTTTATCTAAAGTTCTTTCATTGTTATTGTGTCCTAAAAGTGAAAAGTGTGCACTGTACCTAGTGTGCTAAAAGTGAAAAGTGTGCACTGTACCTAGATGATCATCAGAGAAAAAAGAAAGGTCTAGCAACGTTGCTATATTTAAAGTGTACTACACTACCTTGTGACTATAAACATGAATTTTATATATCAGTTGCTTGTAATAAAGGGTTTGATATTAAGAACAGGACAATATATGCAACGAGAGTCTTAGGCCATGGTCATACTGGTATTGAAAAATTTACTCAGCTCATGAATATGCCAAAACCCATGACATCCAAAAACTATACAAAAATTACAACAAAAATAAAAAACATTGTGAAAAGTATTGCAAACGGAACCATGTCATATCCTGCAACTGAAATGAAAAAAAATGCAACTAGTGAGGATATCGTTGATGCTGGTGTATCATGCGATGGATCTTGGCAGAAAAGAGGATATCAGTCAATGAAGAGAGTTTTTAACGCAATTTTAATAAGTAGTGGAAAAATAATCAAAGTTGAACCTATGAATAAATCATGTAAAGCTTGCTGTATGAAGGAACAATTAAAAAAATTAAATCCTGATGCATATGCTAATTGGAAAAAATAACATATTTGCTTGTACAATTATCAAAGGACAGCTGGTGGTATGGCTCGACGCAGTAAGCGTTTTTAAACGTTCCATCGAAAAACAAAAGTTAACATACACTCGATTTCTTGGTGATGGGGATAGTAAAACCCATCCTTCTATCAAATATATATACCCAACATGGAGGTAAAAAAGTTAGAGTGAGTAGGACATTACCAAAAACGAATCGGTACTCGCTTACGCAAGTTTAAAAAAAATGTTAAGGGTCTAGGTGGTCGTGGTCGAGAAACCAATGCAGTTGTTGATTGCTTGCAAAAAATTTTTGGTGTAGCTATCCGGAGCAATACAAATGATCTGAATAAAATAAAAAAAGCAGTATTAGCTAGCCTTTTCCATGTAGCTTCTTCTAAAAAAAATAACTATCATATTTACTGGCCAACTGGAGGTGATAGTTGGTGCAAATTCAAGCAGAAACAAATTATATTTAATTTAAAAGAAGTACAATCTAATCTAAATAAAATATATCAAATTACACTATATTTAATTTAAATTAAAAAATTGACGAGCAAAAGTTTTTTTTTAATATCATAACCGTAGTGGTCTTTAAAATGTCTTGGTTTGCATTTTACCCACTACCTCATGAAAATTTCATTTCTCAGTTATAATAAAATCACAATCACAAATATTTTAAGGGATCAAAATTACATCCCAAAATCGATTTTTGTTGATTATAAAAGCAATAATTGTGCATAAGGGACGTATTTTTATAAAAACTATTGTAAAATTTTGCCATTAAAAGTATATGTTCGCTTGCTTTCATAGCTTTGAGTTACTAAACTTGATATTAGAAAATATATTTTATGACGTCATTACGTTACTTAAGCGTGTACAAAATAATTCATTTTATTTTTTATTTAATATAGAGTTTTAAATTCGATTCTTATAATTCAGCTCAAAAGGGTCTTCTACAGTGTTATAAATTTGATTTTCATCTTTCAATCTAAAGTTTAATAACTTTTTGCATTAATTTCCTGGTATCGCTGTGCAAATAATTTTTATTGCGCAACATAAGTATCGTTACTTAATAGCGAAATGTATCGATAATAGCGAAATGCATCGATAATAACTTGAAAAACTTTTGATTCTATTCAAATGATGCAATTCGCTGTCACAAATCTTATTATCACTGAATTATGCACTTCTTTTGACCCAATCATAAGACAACAGCTGCAATGCATTTGGTCGTATTTTCGGGTCACTATAACAAAAATAAAATACATTTCCTGTTCCTAAAAAAACGTTTAATAAAAATTTAGCATTAAAAAAAAGCAATTTTTTAATGCGAACTAAACAAACATTTATGAGAACTTTTTAAAAAAAGTTTAAAAAAATAAAAAAAATAAAAAATTTTGTTTTCTGATTACCGTTGAAAACAATCATTCACAAATGTTATGCATGAATTAGATGAGTTATCAGGCAGATGGGGTATGGTTGAACTAGAAACAATTCGGAACATAGCTGGCGTAGGATCTAAATGAGACCATGGCGGCTTTGTTGTTAGCATTTCAAGCACAGTACATCCGAATGACCTGTTTATAAAATATACTATATTGGTTATTGTTATAATCAATGTAATTATTAAGCATAAAATAATGTTATTGAATAATTTAAGTAAAAAATTTAAATGTTAAATGTTAAATTTATGTTTAACTAACAAATTTAAATGTTAAACCAGAGTTTATTGCAAGTAAAAAAAATCATTTATTATATTACACATATAAATTAGATAGGTACAAAGATAAAACAATAAAATTTGCTATTGTTATTTGTGCAACTTAGGTTACTAACACAAACACTTATACTTATCCATTGCCAATCTAATTTAAAACTCGAGATCAATAATGTCAAAAATTTCAGTCTATGTTCTACTTTGCCTACAGTAAAATACGTTTTATGTTCTTTTCTCTAAAAAAGATGAAAGAAATTTTTATTAATTAAGAAGCCTTTAGCTATAATGTAATGAAATATAAGAACCGCACCACTTGTTGTGTCGAATTTGTTAATTTCGCCTGCCTACTTTTAAGTCTAACATGAGGATAATAATTAACACTTTAAATTGTTATATTATATTTTACTTTATTGAAAAAACATTCATGGTGAGTTAATAACTGATCGCATATATTTTATGCACAAAATTTTTTTGCACAACAAAAGTCTTTATAACCATGACTTTTATGAAAATTTAATGAATATACGCAAAATTAAAAACATATTACACATACCATGTTAATACTCGCCCCAAAATGAAAAAATTTGTAAATTTTACATTGTTATAACTTTCAAACACTAAAAAATTATTAAATGAAATTTAAAAAATGTCAAAAATTTGAACTTGGTAAAAGAAAGTAAAATAATAATATTTTATTAACTCTTTTAATTAACTTATTTTTTTACTATATTTATATTTACTATATTTATATATTTATATATATACTACATTTATATATATTATATTTATATATACTATATTAGTGTGTTTATCTCTTATTATTAACTTATTAATAATTAAAATAATAATATTTTATCAACCATTACAGTATGAATGAAGTAAGAAGAGGTAGTGGAGGAGGGGGAGGGGGTTGGAAGTGGGAGGAGGTGAAAAGGAAGATGAAATAACAAAAATATATTTTACAAGAATTCAAAAAAACTATTGCTTTTACAGCTAGAATTAGGGGTGAGCAAAAACGGATATCCGGTTCGATTTGTTGAAATCCGAATCCGAATTTTCGGATAGCTAAAAATCTGAGCCGATTCCGGTTCCGATTTTATCGGATATCCGCTACATTCGGATCGGAAACCGGATTTATCCGAATCCAAATTGGATAGTCTTCTGCTTTTGCAAACATGTTGACTAGTTTTTTTTTTTTTATTTACTTTCGAGCTTAATACAAATGGATGTGAGAATAAAAGTAGTGGTGGGAATTTTAGTCATATCTATAAAACGAGGAGGGAGGTGTGTTTTACCAAAAGTGTTGGTGGACATTTTTTGTTAAATTTAATTTTAATTTATAGACTGACTTAAGCTAGGGATGGGAGGGAATTTTTCTGAAAATCAATAAACGTCTTCTACCGTTAATTAGGCACGCAAGAGTACACAGTTAGCAATTTAACTCACAAAACTGCAACAATAACATTAAAGAATTTAACAGCCTGAGTGTACAAAAAAAACATTTGTTTAAGCAAGTTCATCACACCTCATGTGCAAAAACTTTCCATCTAAAACACTACACTCCCAGTGATTAAACCGTCGTTTTAGATAATCAAGAGCAACTTCATTAGAACTTGCATTATCTACTGTCACAGTCAAAATGTTTTTAATTTCCCATTCATTTAGACACTTTTTAACTGCCCTACCAATAAGCTGTCCAGAATGACCCGCATTTGGGCAAAAATTTATCACTCTTTTACACAAATCCCAATTATCATGAGCAGTGAGACACATATAACTCAGATTTTGACCAGAAGTCCAAGCATCAGTTGTTAAGCAGATTCTAGAAGACAACGTCTTAAAATAATTGATTAACTTCTTCTTTTCCTCTATAAAAATAGTGTAACAATCTTTTGCAGCAGTGAAACGTGAAGGAATTATAAATTCGAGATGCATGGACTAACAAAATAAGCGAAAACCATCTGCATATTTAGAAGTCTCTTGATTGAATATCCACGGTTTCAAGATACTAAAAGTCTCAGTAGATCCGTCTTTATTGCTTAAGTTTAGGGATTCGAAGGTCAAGATTCTTTGCTTTTTATCTAAATTAGCAGGGAACAACTTGCACCTCTCTGTATGATTAGCTAAACATGTGGTCTCGTTATTAGAACTACAACCGATTAATCTGACAATAAACACACATAGCCAAATGTGGATCATCTGTTTTTTCATAATGATCCCACCATGGAGAAGCATTTTTTCTTTTATGAGAAGAACTTTTACCTGCTTTGGAAGCTTTTGGTGTTTTTTCGTTCCGACCAGATAAGTTTTTGGAAATCTTCCTACTATTTGTCAAAATTTCGTATTTAGTCTGCTTATGTTGTTGGTGGCTTGGCTGTTGATTAGATTCGTCCATATCTAATAAATTCACTACATCAATGAAACTTTAAAGACTTTATTCTTAGCCTGCGTAAAAAGTAAAAACATAAATAAAATTTTGATTCATATAAATATAATATTTTGAAATTGAAGAATGCACAGAATCTGGATAACACATGTAATGCAGAAAGTATAAAAAGGAATTTTCAAATATAACGTGTTAAACTTGAGATGATTCTATATTACAAACTTGCAAATTTATGTATAAATTGCTAATTGTAATGTTTCATGTTCTTTTTTTGTTTTTCAACTACAATTGAGTTTAGCACTACGGCTTATATAAAATTTGCTCGTTAGTTATTAGTCTCTTGGGGAATGCTTTTAGGCTTATAGAATGACACAAGAAATAATTGCTAGCAATTGTTTTTCGTGTAATTCTCCAAAGGGAATTACTAATTCCGCAATCGCTAACTGATAGTTAGAAAATAATGTTTAAAGGGAATTGTTTGCATAACAATCATTACACTAATATCGGTTCAAAGTTTTTGACTATGAAAATCAAATTCAATGGATAAAAAACATATTAGTATACATCGTACTTGCCTTCGGTTTAAAGTTCTTCTAAAAACTTTGAGTCAGAAAATAACGACTGTTGATAAAAGATAAAAATGTTTTGTTTGTATTTTTCTCTAAGCAAATTCAATAAATATTATGTACTAGTTATAACGCAATAAATTAAGAATCAGTCTATTAAATGCGCAATTCTTGCGTAGGTGGCAGTGTAATCATTTATATTCACAATTCTATTTATTTCATCATACTTGAAAATCTCCATGTAGTTAATAGAGATTTTGAGTCGTTAAGCGTTGATATTATAGGTTATTTTTTATATATGTGCAATAAACCGGATAGAATCAGGATATCTGATTTAATAACAGTTCATAATCCGAATCCGTTTCAGAATATTAAAAGAAAAACGGATCGGATAACCGGTCTTTTTCCGGTTCGGATATTCAAATTTTCGGATTTTTTAAAAAGGATATCGGACTGGAAATTCGGATATCCAATTTTTTTGATATTTTTGCTCACCCCTAGCTAGAACTCAAAAATGAGGTAGGAAGTGGGAAATGGGATTTATAACTTGAACAAATTCATAGGAACCATATAAATTATAATTTACATTAAAAATAATGGAATCAGGTCATGCTAGACAGGGATAAGTCACAAAAATTGAAAACTGATTTAATAATAGTTTTGATGTTTCAAGAATAGGTTTCAACTATTTATGATAAAATTAGACATGTCAGACACTTGGTTACTACAGTAACTAATTGGAAGAGAAACACTATAAAAGTTGCTAGAATAAAAGATGAAGAATTTGTAGTGCTAAAGAAATTCTGTACTTCAAAAGTACTTTGGATTGCTCTGAAGGTGAGTTATTTTGTATTCTATGGTACGAATAGCTTTACAATCTATTTTCACAGATAAGATATGTATGTATACAGATAATATGCAGTGTAAAAGTATTTTTTGTTTTTTTAGCTGCAAGAGGAACAACTGTCTTGAGACAATTAACGAAGATGATAAAATAAATATATTAAACCGTTTAAACACCTACAACACTAAAGAGGAGCAGGATTTGTTCATAAAATCATTAATTTCGAAGAAATAAAGCAGATACAACCCAGGAAGGAAAAGAATTGCTTAACCATAAAACCACTCTATCAAAACCCACCATAATGTGATACTTAAAGCTACCTTTAAGTATCACATTATGGTGGGTTTTGATAGAGTGCATGTAAGTTTTAAAGTTTTTTTAAGTTTACATATTATTGCAAAAAAACGAATTAAAAAGATTGGGAACTTTGAAAATGATTGGGAAAAGCCCGATGGATAATATAGGACATCAAATAAAAGAAAAAGCATCGCCTCAAGAAATCAAACTTTTTATAAGACAGCATATTGAAAGCTTTCTAACTAAAGAAAAACTTGGTAAACCAATATGCTGTCTAGATGCCACTTTAAATGTTAAAACTATGTATAGGCTGTTTAAAGAAAAATACTTTTCAATAAAAAGTTGGCAAAATGAAGTTTTTCCACTGTGGAAGGCCGAAAATTATATGGTAGATATAGATATGGTAGAAAAGACATGGTACACTTGCAAAGAACTAAATTTAAAATTATGAAGTCCTTGTCTCAATAAGGCAGCAAAAAGATAAACTCAATCTTAAATTAATGTACATAAATGAAAATCAAAAAGGTTTTATGATTGAATCCGAAAATACGCCGATGACAAGAACAATAGTCAAATTTCATCGTGTTTTGACATGCAGAACATAAAGCTACAAAAAAAAAAAACAACAAGAAACCTTCTATATGAGGCAAATTTAAGTAAATTTTTTATATGTTTTCATAACAATAAATATAACAAAGCAAAAATTTTTGTTTACCACCAAGGCAAAGCAGGCAAGGGTTTAGATGTAGTTGATCCTTTCTGTTCAA